GGGGGAAGGGTGCAGGGCCTCGGAGGGGCTGGGAGCAGGGCTCAGCCAGGGGGAAGGGTGCAGGGCCTCGGAGGGGCTGAGGGGCAGGGCCGGGTTCTCACCACACGACTGGGAAGAGAATGGCACCACAGCAGATGAGATCCACCAGGAACAAGATCTCCTTCCAGAGCCCATAGTCGCTGGCACCCTCCTCGCGGGACTCGATGACAATGTATGCCACATTAGCCAGGACCTGTGTGGATGGTAGGCTGCCACCTGATTTTATTCCCATCCTTTTATCCCTGTCCACTGAAAATGAACCACTTCCAAATCCCCTACCACCATGGACTTTCCCCTCTGTACCTCACCGAGCACCCCTCCATTCCCCACCTGGACGTCCCTTCCTGTATCCCACCCCGTATCTCACGCTGTGTCTCATCCCAGCCTCGCCCCTCTATCTCCTACCCAACCCCAGCATCCCTCCTCTACCCCCACCCCACCCTAGTCTCCCTGTGTCTCATCCCAGCATCCCTCCTCTATCGCACCCCAGCTCTCCTCTCTGAATCTCCCTATGTCTCCGCTGTCTCTGCAGCCCCCCTCCCTGCACCTTCCTAGACCCCCATGGACCGCCCCCACACACACACACCTGCAGGGGGATCACAATTCCAAAAATCTTCTTCTCCTTGTCTGACAGCATGTACTTCACAAAGGCCCAGCCCGAGCCGATCAGGGCGATGGTGATGAAGAGAAGGGCACCTTTCAACCTGGGGGGGGGGCGGGGGGGGGAGGTCTGACGACGCGGTGGGGGGCCCAGCCCCTCCTGCCCACCTCCCCCACCTGTGTGCCGGGGACTCACAGGTGTGTGATATAGTGCATGACGGCGAGGCCTTCGATGGGGTGGCCTTGGCTGTTGATGAAGTAGTAGTTGATCTGGAGAGGCAGACGGACGGACGGGCAGTCAGAGAGAAGGACGGATGGCCGGGGACAGTTGAGGAACAGAGAATTGGGACGGATGAGCGGGTGATTGGGGAGGGAAATGAAAACAGTCACCACAGACCCCCTCCACAATGACGGGTGGGGGGATGGTTAGACAATGTGGCGGACACTCAGCGCTGGACCAAGGCATGGTCCTGGAGGGTAGGTGGTGGGAGCCGGGCTGAGTGTGAAGAGAGATGAGATGGACAAGGCGCACAGGTGGACAGATGTCCCGTCTCACCATCCCACCCTTGTGTCGCCACCGGGCCCTGGGTGCTCACGCTGTGGAAAAGCAGGGAGACGCTCTTGGTGAACGCCAGGGCTGCCATGAGCCAGTGGATCTTAAAGACGCTGTAGCTGCCGGAGGGAGAACAGGGTGGAGAGAGCACCTTTGAGATCAGGATGTGAGGCCCTCAGAGGAGAGGTGGGGAGGGGGCGAGGGGAGGGCCGGGAGCGTGGGGAGCATGGGGAGGGGATTTACGTATTCTTGCAGAGGATGGACACCCAGAAGATGCCTGCAGCCAGGAAGCAGGCAGACATGGTCAGGTAGAGCTTGAAGAGGGGGATTTCTGCTGCTGACAGGAAGCCTTCTGGATTCTTCTCTCGGATCATCACCTGTAAAGGGGGGAGGCAGCTGGCCTTGCTCCCACAGCTCTAGCTCTGGGTTTCAGAGAGTTCCAGTCTCTAGCTCTTCTACTTCCTAGCTAGAGCCTCAGTTGGTCCTGTCTCTCAAATGGGTACACAGCCATATAAGCCACAGAGGACTGGCACCAGGACCACAGCAGAACCAACACCCAGGGACGACCCAGTCTTCGTACAAAGTGCATAGGGCCCGCCACATTTCCAGAAAACCAGGGATACAGAGGTGCTACGTGGTGCTGGTTAGGGGCCACCCAGGAGAAAAGCAACTCATAGCATCCAATACAACGTCCCCACATTGTGACCGGCTCATTTTGGCCAGCGGTTCTCAGCCTTCCTGATGCTGCGACCCTTTGATACGGCTCTGAGCTGTACTGTTGTGGTGACCCCCCCTACCCCCACAGAACTATCTTGCGGTGACTTCATCACTGTAGATTTGCTATGGTTATGAACTGTAATGCAAATATCTGATACACAGGTCACCTGGTGTGCAGCCCCCAAAGGGGTCGAGACCTCAGGTTGGGCACCACTGACTTAGGGCATACTGTGTGATTCTGTTTATACGAGTGGAGGCCAAGGACGGCTTCAGGTGGCCATCCTCGGAACACACGCGAGGAGAGAACTGACGCCTGTCACTTGCCCTTTGACCTCCGCGTGTGCTGCACACACACACTGCACACACTCACATTAAAAACAAATGTCAAACGAGTCTACAGGATGCTCAGGACTCGGCTGGGGAGGCAGCGCTGTCATGAAGAGCCGAGTTCAGATCCCCAGAACCCACATCAAGAAAGCCTGGGATGGCAGCCTTTGCTTGAAGGCCCAGCATGGAAGTGGAGACAGGTGGGTCCCTGTGGCTCGCTAGCCAGCCAGCCTGCCTGAATCTGTGAGCTCCAAGCCAGTCAGAGACCCTGTCTCAAAAAACAAGGTGAGCGC